CCACCGCCTTGGCTCGCCAGCTGCAGCCGAGGGGGAAACTGACTGGAACGCGGGAGGGCGGGACGCGAGGCTGTACCCGGCACCCCGGAGGAGCACGCGGAGGAGGGAGGGAAGGGAGGCGGGCCGACAGACAGACCGACTCCGGAGGGGCCGGGCGGGAGGGCGCCGGGCTGTGGGAGGGGGTGCTACCGCCGCCCGCCAACCGAGGCGCTCCGTGCTGCCGGTCGGCCGCCGGCTCCAAGCGCGGGGCGCAGCTCCTGCTTAGGGCGGGCCGGAACGGAGCCTCAGATGCCCGCCACCCCAGCTGCAAGCTGGGACCGAAGGGAGCCCCGCGCCGGGAAGGGCAGGGCCTGGGAGGAGTTCTCGCTCGCTGCAGGGGGTGCACGTGGCGCGCACACCCGGCTCTCCAGGCTGAGAGCAGCCGCGGGGTTGATAGGGCTGGGGGTGCTGCTCCAACCCAGGTTCACTAGCCCGGGCCATTCCGGACCAAGGTCGAGTCCAGCCACCTCCCCAGGGTATTTCTGTGCCTGCGTGCTGATGCCTGGCAACTTTTTCTGCATAGATGAGAAGCTGAACTGGTCTATATTTAACTTTAAAGATGTCCTTTTAAAAATTAAGGTGCAATTATCTCCCTGAAGGTTTTTCTTTCACTATATGCACTCACCGCGGCTTTGTGCTTGCCGGAAAAGGGGCCCAGAGTTGGGGTAATGGGCCAACCGCATGGGAAAGTGGCCCTAGGTAGACAGGGTGCAGAGCTATCTTTCCAAAGCCCTTTTCCCAACTTCCTTCAGGAAGTACATCCTTTCAGTTGCAGGATAAAACCAGTGGGTCTTCTAAATCTCATTTCCCCTTAGGCCTCTGCCTGGCTAGAGTAAGATGGTATAACTAGAGTAGCAAATCTTGACCTCACCCAGTCACACTAGCTGTATGAAACATAGCTAAGTCCTTTACCCTCCCTGAGCCTTAAATTCCTCTCCTCTGTAAAAGGGGGAAAATAATACCTCCTTTGACAACTGAGTAGATAGCTGTGAAACCTGAAGGCAAAGCGCTGGGGTTATCTGAGAGCTCAGAGAGGGGAAGGGAAACCTTGCTCTACCTGGGGAGCGGCGACTGCTGGAACTGTGTCATTTTATTGGGAGGCATTATTGCCTCAGGTTTCTTAAAGAAGTGAGAACGAGGCACCAGCTACTGCAGCCACCTTCCTGTTTGCCTCTGTCCCTAGAGCTCAGTGTAGGGGAAGCTCCCACACCTGACTGAGGTGAGACAGAGTTATATCAGGGCTCCAGAATTCCTTGTCCATGAGGATGGAGCCCTCAAGACATGTACTGAGAAACAGAGAAGTGTATGCAAAGCCTCTGGTATTGGGTACCTTGCCTTTCAGCCACAGGACAGTCCTACCTCAACCCCATAGGGTCCTTGACCAAGTATAGGTAAGTTTATGGTCAGAGCAGCTGTGGAAATCAAGCAGCTGGGACAAGCTGAACACTCTGGCCAGCCCATCTTGAGATGTAGCTGAGCTCACAGACCTCCACTCCGAGACCTGGGGATGGTCCAGCACTTGCTCTTGCTAGAACCAAACCCACTGAAAGGTTGGGTGTAGGCTCTCCTGCCAAGGCTTTGGCCAGACAAACGTCCAGGTAGATTGCCGTCCTGAGAGGGTGGGGAAGCAGCAAGGGCACCCATCCCAGCAGCATCCTCAGCTCCCTGGATCTCTTCCAGGAGCCTCAACCTGGACTGCAGGCCTGGCTGCAGCAGACTCTGCGGGGGACCCCCAGGCAAGCCACTGAGCTGTTGTCAGCTCCAGGCGGGAGCTGCAGCACCAGAGTCCATTGCTCAGCGCTTTGTGATGCTGCTTCTGAGTAACAGATGGCAGACAGTTACACAACACCACCGCCAGGCTTTCAAGATGCTGTAGCCCCACACTGCCTGCAGCCAGCTGAGGTGCCTCATTCCGAATGTTTGGCGTATGGAGAGACCAAGGCCCTGGGATGTGGTAGCTCCATACAGGGCATGTAATACCTGGGACAGCAGAGATTTCCTTCAAGGTGCTTGCTTCCTGAATCATCATTCTGACCTCAACTCATGTGAGGGAGATTCCCTGGGCCTATGGAAGCTGTCAGGAAAATCTAGTTTGGCTGAGTGTTACTACCTGAGCCAGGTGAAATGCATAATAGTCTGGGTGGCCAAATCCATTATCAATGGATCTCAGATGGGCCTTCCGACATCTGAAGTCAGGTGAGTCTCCATTGTAGGCCACAGTCATGGAGCCCTCTCCCAGGACCCAGCCTGTCCAAGGGTCCCCCATGCTGGGGAAGATATTGAAAACTTTAAAACCAGCTTAAGTAACACAGAGCACAGGTGATACCAGTGAGGGATTAGCTATCACCGGTGATTAATCCAAGTTACTTTTTTCTCATAGCCAATATGGGGAGGAAAAGCTCCAAGCAAAACATTTAACATGACAGGAAATGAGAAGAATAAATGTGCTCTGAATGAGGACTATCTTGGAGCCCGAAAATGGATCTACCCTTCTATCATGATATTTTTGAGCAAATTCCTCCTTTGCCTGGGTTTCAGTTTCCCTATCTGTACTGTCACATTATACAAAAAACCCTCCCAGCCCACCCAGCCAGGGGGCTCACCTTCCTTGTCCCTGGGTTGGGACTGTGTGCACCACTCCTGTCCCAGCGAGTTCTGTGTAAGCCATTCTCTCCTCACAGCCAAAGACATTAGAGAGCAAATTGGATACTGGAGCAGATGTGAGTCATTCATGTTAGTATAAAAACTATGGAATAGAACCCATTATGGCCCCGGAAAGCTGTGTAAAGCAGCATATGGAACAAATGTAAGCTGGAAACAGGAGGAAGCTGTGAAGTCCAGTGCATATGCTCTCCAGTGGCGTTTGCTGTGGGTTTTCACACTTTGCCTCTCATTTCCTTTGGCTGTCCTCCTGTCACACTTGCTCAGCTCACTGCAGAGGCTGCAGCCTTTGTTCCTTTTGGATCTGATTTCCCAAATCCCTCCTCTCTGCCCACTGTGTGACTTCAAGGAGAAGAAATTCATGTGCATACTCGTGTGGCTATGTGTGTATCTTGCCATCTGCATGCTCATAGGAACTGTCACAACAAGTGAGATGACTCCAGCCAGCCTAATGAAATTTTACCCACCGAGGCCCAGGCAGGTTTTTGAGCAGGTCTTTACCTCTTCTAGGCCATAGGGAAAGGTAAGCCGTGGCCAGGCAGATGGCAGCACAGAGAGGAGATGAAATTCTCACACCACGCTGGCCCTGCCCTGGCAAGCTTCCCCAGCAGCAAAAAGAGTGGCAGCAAGAATGCAAAGATGTGTGTCTGTATTCCATAGCCCTAGAAGTGCAAATCCTTGGGCCATCCCCTGCAGCGGGCGCTGTTCAAGTTCCATAGTGGTAAATAATACATCAGCCCCATTTTCCTCTGTGTTCCTTTCTCTTGTCATTGTATATCCTGTCAAAATCACATGGCCAAGTGTCCTGCAAGGGCTTTTTTACACAATGAGCAATGGAATAGTTAAGCCAAGTGGTAAATAAGAATGAGCCATTATCAACTGTTAACCTCTCTCTCCTTAACATTGGTGAGCCTTTGCCAAAGGAGTAAAGCCAGCCTGCTTTCCCTCCCATCTCTGATAAGTAGATGGGTGGCTTTATCCAAGGAATAAGGGATCTGACAGTCATCTTTCTGGATCTTTCTGGATCCATTAAACAATTCCTTTCACCCTCAGGCTACCCGCAGCCCATCCCTCCACCTTTTATTCATATGTACCACTGTATAATTTGCTTGCTTAGAAGGGATTTATATCTTTGCATTTCAAAAGCCTGCTTCTTTCATTCTTTTGAAATGCCTCCAAACTTTCTTTGTTCCTCACCCAAATGCCAGGTGTAAAACTTACTACTGCTACCATGATAGAGCCTCGCTGGTTGTGGAAAGTGGTTTGATCTTCAGTGATGGCGTTCTGCATAGTGACCTGAGACCCAGTCCCCTTTGCCCCCCCCCCGAAAATGTAAAGTTCTAGCTTGAAGGAGTGGTCCAGTTAATTTAACAGAAAGTGGCAGAAAATTTAATCTAAAATATCTAAATGGGACTATCAAAGAGAAAAGAACAAGCAGAAGAACTAGAGGGATCCAATGACAGATATCATGCTTAGGTCCCACCTATCAGATGTCTGTCAGATTTCACACTTCCGCAGGTTTGTGCCAGGGCCTCTCCAAGCTTCCTGGACCTTCAACAGAGAGAAGGACCCGGCATGGTTCAGGAAGGAGCAGCCACCAAACCAGAACAAGCTCTGGAAACCAACAGCACATTTTCTGTCAAGTCGCTAATGAGTGTTGGCAGATTGTCCCAGCTTTCTTGGGACAGTCCTGGTTTCTGCTCATTTTCCTGCAAAATTATTAATAAGGCCTCTTTCACTTTCAAGAAATTCCTGTTTTGGACGATAAATGAGATGGCCACTCGAACAGCACTTCCAGTGATGTTTCTAAAATGAAAATCGCTTTTCTTAAATGACTAAAAATATGAGTCTTTGCTGTTTACGTGTGTGTTTGGCTTGGGATGCCCTAAATATGTGTGTGGGATGCTATTCTGAGTAAATATATTCAAGGCATTTATTCAGAGAAGAGGTAATGCGGACAAATTAAGCTAGCTTTAAATAAGGGAATAATTGTCTTACACACATCACCCAATTTTGACCTGATCCCATTCACCCCACTGTAATTGTCTCACTCACGTAGCAGCTCACACACTCTAGGAACCACCCAAGTCCCTCCATAGGTCAAAGGGTTCCTTAGCCCAGACTCTAATCGTCCCTTCAACTAACCACCGGTTCCTCTAGTGCAGATACTTACACAAGCCATAAAAGTGACATAAATAAATGAAAGGAGATGGTGTCATAGAAACAGGAGTGTAAACACAGCAACTACAGACCTAACATTCAGCCTTTGTGGTGAGGACATAGTAGGGAAGGGAAAGGCGGGGCCCATAGGACTGTTGAGGAATCAGCTCTAACTGATGATTGCCAATGCAGATAAAGCACTGGCAGAGTTTTCCAGCTTCTCAACAGAAGCAGAAGTCCAAGTGATGAGGTAACATTTCTTAGGGTTTTGTTTTGTCTTTATTGCTGTTGTTGCTGCTATTTTTCAATATTGGGGATCGAACCCAGGACCTTTTCATTGAGCTACATCCTCAGCCCTTTTTTATTTTTTAAATTTTGAGACAGGCTCTTACTAAGTCTTGTCCCCTGGATTTTAACTATTACTGACTAGTCCACTCCTTCCCCAAATTGGGTAGTTTAAACTAAACAGATTTTTAATCTGAATCCAGCCTGCGTATTGCCAGTTGGCAAACTGTACTTGACCATAAATGTCTTACACTGAGATGATCCTACATACCATCTCCTATCTCAGAAACAAATACACCCAGCTAGGGAAAAGGGGGAAGTAGACCAGACTGCCTGAGGGTGCACAGAAGGGAGTCATGCAACTCAATACTCTTTGTTCTGTTTTTGAGGACTAGGCAGCCCAAAGAAACTGCATGATCTGCGTAGACCAAGACTTGGTATAGTTCATGGGCTATCCCATATCTACCCTGCCCACCCCCGTGCTCCTAAGTGACACGACTCTGAGTTTCGCAGCCCAAGTGAGACACAGCTGAGAAATCTGGAGGGGGCATGGCTAGAAGTTTCCAAATAATCAGAAGAAAAAAATCAACAAAGATATTGTGAGCACAGACTCTGGGCAATTTACTGTGAGGAATACAAATAAATATAAGGTCTGTCCCTAACTCTTCCAGAAAGTGTAAGCTAGTAATTTGAAAGAAAGCCTTGAGTGTTAAAAGGCCTGATACCTTCTTGTGTTTCTGTTGGGTGACGCGATGACTCCTAGAGAGGGGTGCTTCAGTCCACATGAGAAAAAGCTACACTGCAACAGCAAAGTCATTTTTGGAGCCGTATTCTGCACCTGTCTTCCATTTCCCCCTCTAAGTGCGGTACAAATATTAATTAAACAAAGCTTATTTGAAAAGTGATTTTAGCATTTGAACTCATCTGGGCTGCATCACAAAATGACACTAATATCACCCCTTCTGTTGGTAGAATACTGTTTAATAAATACTCCTTCCTGTTTTTTGCAGTTTTTCCCATGCAATTTATTTTGCCCATCCTCTGGCTATCTCACCTTTTGTGTTATAATTTTCATGAGACAAGTGAAAATAATATTTCCCTTGTGCTCCAAAGAGCCAAATCCCTTTTTCTGGCTTGATCTGACAAAGGCCAGTTTGAGTGGTAATGGAAAGAAGCCTGGTGTACAGTCCAAGCACAAATCCTCTGGGAGAAATAACGCATCTCTTTGGGGAAACGAAATCGCGTATACTTATGAAGGAGGAGATTTTCAATTTATAAAGGTTTCCTATTTCTTTTGATTGCTGGGATAACTGCATTCCAGAAAGGTTAGGCTTCTTCTCTGTCAGACAGCTGCCTCTCAGGTCTGAGATGCAGATTTAAAAATGATGAGTGACAAGCATCCCACTCCAGGCCCTGGACCCCCGCCCCGGGGGATTTTGAAGCAGCGTAGATCAAAGGGTTAAAATCCATTACCCAGAGAGATGGGAAAGTTCCTCTCAGTGATTTCTTTCCTCGTCATTGCTCTCAGGCCTGAATTCCAAATTGATTTCCTTAATAACTATTAAAGATCTTTTTAATTAAACCCGGCGTCCTCTTCCTTGGCAAACTTTTCTTGATGACATCTCTGGTTAATTAAAGGTTTAAGCTGCAAAGACGTATTACATAAGAACAAGGGAAGCTGCTTTATGGCACGCTGGTGAAGGATCCTGCTGATTCCTCCTGAGCGGCTCTCGACTTCCTTTATGGCATCAAAGGCCCCAGAAACTGTTAGTGAAGATGACGTGGAGGAGGGGATAATTTTTCTGTTTCCTGAGGTGCCGTTTCTCCTTGTATGCTTGCTGGTAAGTGTTCATCAAGTGTTTCTCATTAAAAACATGGCTCATTTGGATCGTAATTCACTGAGGCTGACAAAACATTTCTACCTTTTCATCCAAAACCGAGAAAAGCCTTCTTTCATCCTTCACTAAAATGCAGCAACTGCTATAAGAGGATGTGCCCGTTTCTCATGAGAAAAGAGTACTTATTTATTTATTTATTTATTTATATGGTTCCCCAAATTCATTAGAAAATGACCCTTATTCATTCACCTTCTTTCTCCTAGTTCATTTTTCCACCAGGTTCCCTGTTTTGAAATGGTAAGGTATACAAAACGTCACTAAGGAGCAGAGCTTTTTTTCATGCAAGGTAAAACAGCTCCTAAGCTGTGACTCAAACCCATGACCTTGGCATTGTTGTCGTCCTGGTCTAAAACAGTAGTACACCAACCTAGATATGCATTGGAATTACCTTTGAATGCTGTAAAAATCACAGGCTTCTGCCACACTCTAAGCATGAGGAAATTTTTATGGTTGAAGTCTCTAGAGACCCAAGTCTGGGAAGCACTCAGTGCCACCCATAGGCCTGCCTACAAATAGAAAAGGCGCTCCACTTTTTCAGTGGGGACCACTCATACAGGCAAAACAAAGCAAAGGGAAACAGAACCTCACCAATGCTGCTGAGGGCAAATGGCTCTAATTCTGATGAGATCCCAAGGAGGAGATTGAAATTTTTTTTCTTTGATTTTTTAAAAAAACGGGAAGCAGGAGTATAGACAATCCCATATTAAAATCAGATGTGTGGAAAGAACTACTCATAGATTGTCATTGGTCAGTGGCTCACAGCTCTACATCAGTGGTTCTCAAACCATAAAGAGAATCAGAATCACCTGAAGATTTTATTTTAGTGGCCATTTTATTATAAAAGTTTTCAAACATATGTATGAAAAATAGAACACCGGTACACTCAATCATACATATACTATACCTATAGCCCAGATTCAAAAATTGTTAGTATTTTGCCAGACATGTATGTGCCCACAATGCATTCATATGTAGTATGATCAAAAATACAGTGCATTTTAATATTTTTAAAGATGTATTACAGTAAAAGATACAGTGCAATTTATCTCCTTCAAAACATCCCCTTTCACTTCAAACACACTTATCCTATGGTTCTTGCCACTTTCTCAAGAAGTTCTGGAAGTTCTTTGCCATGAGTGCCTTTACTTGCACTGTCATAGATGGCTTAATGTCCTGATCAATTCAAAATCAATTCAAAACACATACCTTTTATGATCAATTTAACACAAAAGCTGCATGGTGCTACATCCAGTGAATAAGGTGGATGAGGACCCACTATAATGGTTTTTTAAATGAAATTGCCATAAAGATTCGGAAATACTTCAGGACCTTAAGATAGCTATAAAAAGACATGAAAGAGGACTTCCAGAACTGCTTCAGAAAGTGGCAAGGACAATGGAATATGTGTGTGTGCAGTGAGGGGGATTCATGGCAATGTGTCTTTTAGCATAATAAAATTTTAAATGTAAACATTTACCGCATTTTGTGATCATGCCCCGGATGTAATTGCTGAACAATTAAAAGGTAAATAACAGATGTCATGATCCGTAACACCTCATTAGCTTTTTGTTACTATAGCAGACACTTGAGATCATCAACTTATTTTTAAAAGGTTTATTTTGCCTCACAGTTTGGGAAGTTCCAGACCATGACTGACTGGCCCCATTGCTCTGGGCCTGTGGCACGGTAGCACATCACATTGGGAGCGTGTGGAAGAGCAAAACCACTCACCCCATGGCCCGAAGGGAGGAAGAGGAAGGGGCTAAGGTCCCACAGTCCTCTTTCAGGGGACCTGACAACCTCTGGATAGGCCCCACCTTTCAACTTCCGCCATCTCTCAAAAGCACATCTAACCTTTAACACACTGGGCCTCTCTCTGGGGGACCCTCAACATCCAAACTATAGCAGCACCTAAATAACAACCTTAAGTAACCCACAGATACTTCAGCTCCCCTTGCCCAAATTAATGACATTCTCCAACAAAATACAGCCCTGACCCCATTATCAAACCCTAAGTGGCTTTCAAATAATGCCCTAAGACCTTATAATACCTGTCCTATAATCAAGTTTCTAGGGAATTTAAAAAGACAAAAATTTTAGAAAAGTAAAAGAAAGGAATGCCCCTGGGTTGGATTCTCCCAAATTTTGGTTCCGTTAGGTAATGATGGTATTTTGAGAAATACTACTATAGATGTCTAAGAATGTTTTTGCATTAACTAAAAGCTCACTTTTTTGTACAATACTTCAAAATGCTTGGCCATCTGCATGGCACTTACAGTCATTACTTCATCCTATAACCTTAGCAGTGTTACTGTAAGGTGGAAAGATGAGTAGCTCCAGTGTCGGCTTGAAAGAACCAGGCAGGGTGTTTTCACTCTGCTTCTAACCCTGCCTGTGTGATTTGTGGCGTGAGACCGAACTTCTCTCTGCTCTTCCATGTCTTCATCTGTAAAGTGAGGAACTAAATCGATGGTCTCTGAGAACCTTTCCATCTCAGCCTTTCATTCAATGCATTTCTGACTCCTTTTCTAAAACTCCTTATCCATCTGCATTTGACCCTGTAGCAAATTTATACAGGAGCTATAGAGTCATAAGGGAAATACACACTATTAGAATGTTGTTGAGAAACAAATGAAGTTGACAAAAATCTTCCCACTTGCTATGGCCAAGTAGGGCCAGAATGCTGAGCATCTGCCTCCTGTGCCTGCTGCCTCGAGAGTTAGGGTTAGAGAGAGGTGGGATTCTTCACAACAGGGCAGGGCCCATGCATCCTCATCCTTGTGCCTTTGAAAGAGGACAGCAGATTCTAAGGGTACATCACTGACAAAGGCAACAACTTCTAAACAGCCAGGCTAAGTTTTGCTAAAGACCCCCGTTTCGTTTCTCAAGTGACTTCAACTTCCCCACCTTCCGTGTATACAGGCCCTCTGTGTTCCCACAGCCCCTACCAGGTTCACACATTCTCCAGAGCTGGCCCATGGTGGGCCTGGGGGCTGCCAGGTGAAAGCAGAGCTACTTAAAATTCTTCACCTGGGGAGACTTTCATTTTATATGTATTGTGTGAAATTTTTACTACCAGAGCATACTCGTGCTTTCCTTGTGTAATTAAAAATAAATAATTAAAATCCTTGATGGCTGATGGGGTTTTTTAGGTCTCTCAAAGACAAAAGAATCTCTAGGGTGTAGCAAATGGCTCCAAAGTTTCTTTGGGGTATGTGTATGTGTATGTGTGTGTGTATGTGTGTGTGTGTGTGTGTGTGTGTGTGTGTGTGTGAGAGAGAGAGAGAGAGAGAAAGAGAGAGAGACAGAGAGAGAGACAGAGAGAGACAGAGAGAGAAAGGAATAGAGAAACAAAGAGTATATGTTGGGGTCAGGGAGGTGGTATCTCATTCACAGAAACTGAATGGAAATGGCTCATAGATGCTAATACAACAATAATAATGTTGGAGCCCTTATATATAGACCATGTGCCCCATTAAGGCACAATATGAAAACTAAAGCTACCTAACCAGGCCGACTCCACTCACTAATTCATTCATATTCTCTCTCCCTCGCTTCTCCTCCCTCTCCCTTCTCCTCTCATCCCCCCTCCCCTCTCTGGCCGCTGGTGACCTCCTTCAGAATACTGAATCTTTGCTCTAGAGGTGGCTGGTTGGAAGGTACCTCTCATAATGTCCATCAGGACATTCCCTCCAGAGTGACAACAATGGTGTTTATGGAGCAGGTTCCTTCTTTAAAAGTCCTTTCGCCTCGTTAGGAGGCTAATCACCCCTAGTTGACTTTCTTCATCCTTAAGGGAAAAAACTGGTGGTGTCAGGGTGATGGGCCTGAGATTGTAAGCCCAGCAGTTTCACAGAGGGAGTTAAACTCCAGCACTTTCTCTCCATGAAGGGGTCGAGTGCCAGGGGATGAGCCCTCATTATGGAGAGTCAGACATCTGAGGTCAGCAGGCTGAGGCCCTGCTTCTCTCTAGCCTGCCCTTGGGGATCTCCAGGTGCTCTGGCTTTAGGGACACCCCCTGTCCAGAATCAGCTGAGGTGGTCAGCTCAAAAAGATGGAGCTGAGGGCCGGGGATTTAGCTCAGTGGTTTCGCTGCCTGCTGGGCAAGCACAAGGACCCGAGTTCGATCCCCGGTACAAAAAAAAAAAAAAATGGAGCTGGAAGGACAAATTTTAAAATCTTAGGACCAAATACAAGTAATTCTTAACAATGAAGGTGCAAAGAGGATGTGAGTGCTACGAGTGCTATTCAGACACAAAGAACACCCTCTGGTATAAAGCCAGATTAGCTCAGGGCTTAGGTTCTGGCCCCAGCCGTGCTATCAGCCTTTCTGAGCACCGTTTTCATCATCTAGAGAGAGAAACAGCATTAGGAACCTCTCCTTACAGGGGTGCTGTGAGGACTTAGAGACAGTATTATAAGTAAGACACCTGACGTCACAAATTACTGTTGCTCAGGCTGTGTGAGGATGATGAAGCTACCACCTGGATGGTGAGGGCTGTTTTCTGTACCTTTCTAACCTCTCCACTTAGTGATATGTTAGACATGTTGAAAATACCCAATGCTATCTTTGTTTCATGAATGTATTTTTTTAAAGCAAGCATCAACTTCCACTCCAGTGGTCCCAAAAGGGGAAATATAAAGAGGTGGGCTCTGGAAATACAGCACTGACTCTACCCCTCACAGGACACAATGGTCTCGACAACTCTGGTGGGCCCATAACTCTTCTTTGGCTGCCTACATCCGAGCCACTCCCTATCTCTGGGGAATGCCCCCCACCCCACCTCAAGATGAGGGGCTGACTCATCCTCTCTCAGTAGAGCAGAGAACCCTAGCTACTTCTTTTCCAGCCTCTCTTACAGCTAGAGTTCAGGTATTTCACTCTGCCAATCACAGTAGTTCGGCAGTGCAGTGTTAGGATCACCCCTGGGAGCTCATTCCTA